TATAAGTCTAACTGCTATGGCTATCTATCTATATCTATCTATCTATCTATCTATCTATCTATCTATCTATCTATCTATCTATCTATCTATCATCTATCTATCTATCTGGGTGAAATGAGGACCCAGACTGTAGGGGCGATATGCTGACTCTGTAAACCGCTTAGAGAGGGCTGAAAGCCCTATGAAGCGTTATATAAGTCTAACTGCTATTGCTATTGCTATAGAAAGGGAAAAAAGGAAAATGGGATCCAAAAAAGAAATTAGCCAAAAAATTTTTTAAAAAAAAATGAAATATGTTAACCATGGTATTAAGATGTGTGTGAACTATACTAATATTATTCTCATGCAAATGAATTAAGTAAAATGTTGATTATATATAATAAAACTGAACTTGGAGATACACGTTAGTTATAGAAAATAGATGGAAATGAAATGATGAATTCGGTTTATTTCTAAAGGGATTAAAACATGACATGCTTTATGTATATTTCAAAAAAAATTAAATTTAAAGCTGGAAAATACGGGAAGAAAATAATACGGCTAAAATGGGAAATGGAAATATAATATAAAATGAATTACGTATGTGTGAAAATGTTAGAGGGTGGGAAACCGGACTTACACTCTGTTTACAAAATAATTTTAAATATGTAACAAAAAAAATTAAAAAAAAACTTGGTTTGGGGGGAAAAAAAGAAATGTCTGTCAATTATAGATTGTTGATTGCAGATTAAACGGACCTACAGTATGTAAAATCTGGCATTAAACTGTAGTATTAACATAGGAAGGGATCATTGCAATTCAGTCCTATCCAATCTTCCCGCAGTATTCTTCCAGCCAAAAATGGACGGCATGGTGACCTCCCGGGAGAACTGAAGAAGCTTCTTGGATGAGAAGCGAAATGTCTTCAAAGAAAAACCAAGGAAGTCCAGTTGCCTCTTGAAAAAAGCACCTTTGGGACAACCAGGACCTTGGAAGACGGAGAATCCCTACAGATTCTCCGGGGCTGCCCCAAAGAAGAGGGAGTCAAGCTATTCTCCTGAAGGCAGGACAAGAAGCAATGGGTGGAAACTAATCAAGGAGAGAAGACACCTGGAATTAAGGAGAAACTTCCCAACAGTGAGGAGAATTAGCCAGTGGAACAGCTTGCCACCAGAGGTTGTGGGTGCTATGTCACTGGAGGTTTTTAAGAAGAGAAGAACTAAGGTGATTAAAGGCCTGGAGACCAAAACATAGGAAGAACGGTTGCAGGAACTGGGGATGTCTAGTTTAATGGAAAGAAGAACCAGGGGAGACATGATGGGAGTCTTCCAATATCTCAGGGGTTGCCACAATGAAGAGGGAGTCAAGCTATTCTCCAAGGAACCTGAGNATATGTTTTAGCCTCCAGTCCCCTAATCCTCTTTCTTGCTCTTTTCTGCACTCTTTCCAGAGTCTCCACATCTTTTCTACATCGTGGCGACCAAATTTCTTCCTATAAGTCATTAATAAAGTTGCTGGGTACAATTGGGCAAAGCCAAACGAGGGGGCCCTCGGTGGCCTCTGAGCTTGCTTGTTTTCTTGCAGACGTTTCGTGACCCAACTAGGTAACATCATCAGTGCTAGCAAGGAATAGAGTTAGCTGTCAGTTTACATTCTGGAGGCTTGCCTGTCTGCGGGGGTGGGATGGGTGCTCTTAGAGATTCTTTGGTTGGGCTGTTTACTGATGGCTCTTTGGCAGTTTCTTGATTGGGGGGTATTGTTTATTTGATTATGTGTCTGCAGTTGACCTTGGAGTTAATCTGTGCTGATCTGAGTGCTGATTATTAATGGAGAAGTCCTGGGCTCTTTCTCTTCTCTTTTGGCGTGTTGGTTGTCTGTTTTGCATAGATGTAGCTTATGTCTGTATTTATAGATGACTAATTTCTCAGAGGCTTCTAAAAATTCCCTGGCATTTTTTTTTTGGGGGGGGGGGGATACGGCCCGCTTTAGGATTTTCCCAATTGAAACTGTGATTCAATCTATCTGCATGTTGTGAAATTAAAGAATTTCCACCATGCCTTCTGACTGCCAGCTGGTGTTCCTGGATGCATTCGGCCAATCTTGTTTGTCCTGCATAGTGGCCGTTGCGGTCATTATACTGTTTTTGACTCCTGGATTTTTCTTCTTCTGAGGTGGCCAGATCTTCTGTCTTGCTTAGGATGTATTGAAGGGCTTTAAGTTGGTTTTACGCTGACTCCCGTGGTGGGATTCAAATAATTTAACAACCGGTTCTCTGCCTTAATGATTTCTTCCAGCAACCAGTTCACCAAACTGCTCAGAAACTTCGAGGTTCGAGGTTCATTTTAATTATATGCCACCCTATTCCCAGCGGGACTCAGGGCGGCGCACAAACCCAAGGAGGGGAAGGGAAACACAAAAACTACAACAAAAACTACAGGGCATTTAAAACAACCAACAGCCACACAATTCGAGAGGGGAAGGGAACTCATCGACCCCAGGCCTGCCGACCCAGCCAGGTTTTAATGGCTTTTCGGAAGGCCTGGAGAGAGGTGAGGGTCTGAATCTCTGCGGGGAGCTCGTTCCAAAGGGCCGGAGCCACCACAGAACCACCGGTTCTCCCGAAGTGGTGCAAACTGGCTGAATCCCACCACTGGCTGACTCCATGTGGTTTTGTAGTAGTTTATTTGTGGTTTCTGAGATATTCTTGGTGTATGGCAACACCCCAATCAAGAAACTGCCAAAGAGCCGTCAGTAAACAACCCAACCAAAGAATCCCTAAGACTGTCCCCATCCACACAGACAGGCCAGAATATAAATTAACAACGTACTCCACTCCTTAGTAGCACTGATGATGTTACCTAGTTGGGTCATGAAACGTCTGCAAGAAAACCACCAAGCTGAGAGGGCACCAAGGACCCCCTCATGTCAACTTTATTGATAAAGCCAAAGCTTGGGAAACTCTTTTTCCAAAATGGTGCTAAAATCACTTACGGGCACACTCGTAAGTGTGGTTGTTAGCTGCAAATTCACCTGAATATCGAATCCTAGGATTGGAAGGGACTTGGAAAGATTTCCAAGTCCCAAACTTACTCAAGGCAGGAGACCTTTTTTAAGACTCTTCTTGAAAGCCTCCAGCGATGAAGCCATCCACAACTTCTGAAGGCAACTTCCGTTGCACCGGTTAATTGTCCTCACTTTAAGGAAGAAATTGCTCCTTCAATCCCACCCAACTTCCTAGGAATTGTGGATCAGTTGCAAACTGGAAAAGAAGAGCGTTATGCGCTTCCCATCCAGATCTCCCCAAAAGCTATGGAACCCAAGGGGGCCACTCCATAACCCCACATTCCCCTCTTCTCTCAGGGAGGGCTTCTCCAAAGGACCTGGCAGCCGAACACGAAGTAATAGGTGGAAACTTATCAAAGGAAGATCCAACTTGGTATAACCTTGTGTGGGCCTGTGGAGAGGAAGGTGTGAGATCAACAGTAAATAATTTTTAGCCAACTACAATAATAACAAAGAAATGTGAATGGATAATATTCAATGATACATACAGGTGTGTTATGGGGGGGCGGGGGGATGCTTAGATATCTTACTTAACTGAATCTGTTTCAGAATATGTCATAAAGGTGTAACGTTATTGGAGATCTATTGAAACTGCAAATGAATGCCAGCAGGTGGTTGTGTCTTTAAATATAAATGATTCTAGATAAAAACAGGTTTAAATAATGGTAACTAAATGAGAATTGTGGCACAGGGATAGTAAAATACATAATTTTTTTCTTTCTTGACTTAAAATGTACAATTCGATTTGAATGAAGTATATGTAAGGATCGTGGAAGAAACGCACGGGATATATTTGTAACCAATCGATGCGCTTTCTACAAGATGTAACGAAAGATTATTCTTTGTGTGTGTGTGTGTGTGTGTGTGTGTGTGTGTGTGTGTTTTAAAAAAATATATTTT